TAAGAATTACTATATACTTCAGTACCACTTATTGGAAGTCTACCCTTTCCATTCTGATTTACACTATTTGCTGTATCAAACAATGTTCTTACATCCATGGGTCTGTTTCTTGAGTATGGACATAAGTTTCGAAGGTACAGTTTCTGTGAGCCTAAATTTGGTGTCTCATTTTCATTAACATATCAAGGTGCTACATTCAGCTTTGTATAATACACCATTGACCTATGATCTTTGTGCTGTCATTCATTATATCAAATTTCTCTGATTAACCATGTCAAGAAAACTGAAACACAGAAGTTCCTTTATCTCCAATGCCAACTGTGAACAAGCCTATTTCTAATATTCCCAAGTCTTAGAACAGGTTATAAACATGAGTCATCTTAGTATTTAGTCCTCCTTTCCTGGTATTTAGCTCTCCATTTCAAATATTTAACCTGTACTTTACACAGAGCCTTTTTATCTCTTAAATAAAATTTTGCATGGTTTATGTCCATTATGAAATACAATAAAAAATTAAACATTAATGATATTCATACCAAAAATTTTGTCAATTGAAGCATTTGAAGGCAAGGTACAATTAAACACGGTAAACTGTCTTTTTAAACGTTGTGGAATATCATTCCGACCACCTCCAGGGTGGATCATTGCGGCTATGATCTGCACATCGACAATGGTAGTGAAGTCTCCAGGCTTGTCCAAGCTGTACATGCCTTCCATCTCCATCATCTGTCGCACAATCTCATTAGTTATCTGAAATTTTACACAGTATTATTTTTGTAACATATCACTATCATATTCCTCCATAGCTTCTATAAAAGAGTACAGATAAGATCAGAAGAAAACATTCAACTCTTACCAATGAAGTATTTGTGAATGTCGATCAAGTTGCCTTTTTTAAGGTAACTTGACTTAAATGATGCCACCCATGAACCCTAAATCGTAAGTTAAACATGTCTGGTGCAAGTCCAATGTGCCCTTCATCACACTGATAAAACTAATTTCCAAATAAATTCAGATAGGTTAGTTATGAGATAGTTGGTACAATTATAACAGTACTCAGAGTCACAAGTTTTACGATAGACATCTTTCACACTCAACATCCGGCACTTTGAAACACTATACATCAGAACACAGGATAGTTTCAGCCCTGAGCTTTCACTATTATATTACTGAATGTTTGGTTTGGGGTTTTATGTACTCATTTTATCTTCTCCACAGCTTCTAACACTGCTAATACTCCCTCCTTGAAAATTTTCCTCTCTTGGTTTCAGAGGCTCAATTCCTGGGTCATTTCCCAAGCCACTCTCTAGCCACTCATCCCCCACATGCAACTGTCCTGCAGGACTCCATCCTTGGCCCTTTTCTCTTCCCGTTATTTCAGGGGATGCCGCCTCAACCCTGTGCTCTAAAGAATCTCAAATCTGTAACTCTAGCTTCAGATGCCCTTGTAAGCTCTACACCTATATATCCAAATTCCTACTGGGCATCTCAAAGTGGATGGCACACAAGCACCTCAAATGCAACAATTGTTCATTCAACCAACATTTAACGAATGACTGCTGTGTGCCAGGCTCTCTTACAGCATAGGCAAAATTTCCTGTCTTCATGGAGCACACATTCTAGTGGTGAGAGACTAAATGTATACATGTATGTTGGTATGTAAATAACATGGTACAGTATAAGTCTTTTGTAGAAAATAAAACAGAAAAAGAAAATGGGAAGTACTCAGGGGTGTAACTGAATACAGAAAGCAGAGGAGGCTTTACCTCACATGACATATAAGCCAAGATCTGAAGGAGGTGAGAAAACAAACCAGTTAGATATCTGGGGGAGGAGCAGTCTAGGCAGAGGGAACAGCAATGCAGAGGTGCTGAGTAAACATCGTATGCAACGTGTGCACAGATACGTAAATGTGAGTGTAGCAAAGGGTCATGGGAACATGAGGTCAAGCAGTGCAGAATCTCTGGGTCATGGCAAGGATTTGTGATATTTATATCCTACGAGTCTCATTGCAGGATGTTGAGCAGGGGAGTGTGTCATGATCTGACTCATGTTTTCATTGGTTGCTGATCTGAGAAGAGACAACAGATCCAAGAGGGGTGAGGGAAACAGGGAGGCCACGAGGAGGCATCTGTAATGACCAAGAAGACAGATGGTGGTGGCTGGCACCAGGTGGCAGCAGTGGAGAGGAGGACAAGTGGTTGAATTTGGGGTACAGTTTGAAGATAGAGCCAACATGATTTCCTGACAGGCTGATTGTGGAACTATTATTTCCTGAGACGGAGAACTTGGAGGAGTAGGTTCCAGACATAAGTTTGAGATCCTACTGGACATCTCTCATGGGGTAAAAGAGTTTAAAATTCAGGAGCTCTTCAGATTATGGAAGATAAGGGCTAACCAAATCCAAACACGCCTCCACTCTTCCCGCCTTTTAGGAACTGCCGAGGTCCATCTGCCTTGGAGCAGAGAAAGGCCACACAGAACTGTGTGGGGATCCCTCTCAGGGTGGGGGCTGAGCTGAGCTTCTAGAGGTGTCTGCAGTGAGCAGGGATGAAGAGCAGGATGGGATCAGTGCTGGCGGACTCAAAGTTAGATGGCGTCGATGAGGCAGCATATATTGGTGGGAGGCAGGTGTAGCGGATCCCACCAGGACACACGGAACCTTGGCAACATCGGTGGGGTCCTCTAATGGAGAGTGACTCGGGTTGATAGATGCCCACAACTAGGACTAAGGTGTGTGGCAGAGTTAAATAAATGAATAGGGTTTTATTTTTCTTTTTTTTTTTATTTCAGCATATTATCGGGGTACAGATGTTTAGGTTACATATGTTGCCCTTACCCCCACTCTCCCCCCAAGTCTGAGTTTCAAGTGTGTACATCCCTCGAATGGTACACATTGCACTCTTTGTGTATGCATATACCCATCCCCTCCTCCCCTCTCCCCCCTCCCCCCTGCC